ATGATATAAACATAATTTTCATTTTATGATTTACTGTAAATTATGGTTTACTAAAGAACAAATGTAACTAAAATGAAATACCTCGTTGTTCTTGTGTTGTAATGTTGGAAAGTTTTTAAAACGAATGGACTATTTATAAAAAGTTTCCACTGGAATCACGGGACTTGATTTTTTGGCGTTTTCTAAAATCTTGGTTTTACAGGGACCTGGTTTGTAGGAATTTTCATATACATCTCATGTGATTATAAACTCTTTCAGTTGTTCAAATCTTTTTTCACATTTGTTCTAGCTATTATGGCCGAGAAGAAAACTTAAAAATAAAGGTGAATGCTCAATTTTGGCCGTCATTGTACTATAAATACCTAAGTTACGTCTTTCCTAAGCAAAAAATATATTAATTTATGTAATTTAACTTTATACCCTTACCGTCGTTTAACCACGAATATTTCTGAATATACAATATAAAGCCTAGTGTATGTAAATAAAGATATAACACAATTATATTGGTAAATGATATATTTTTTCTTTATTTATTCAAATATATTAAATTGATACTCCTACGTAGAACTCTGTAACTACGTTGTTAGACTCACCTATAGACAATATAATATTCGATTTATGTGTAAGAAAATAGAAAAGCAATTTTTATATTTCGTTGTTGTCATTGAAAATTAGTAATTGCGTCAATCGTGAAAACATATTTAACAGGTGACTTCTTTCAGGCAAAGTCATGTTTGATTTTATACAGTTAATATCTAATGCATATAGACAATAACACGATGAAACAACTCGGAAAAAATTGCTTACAAATGTGACACACAGCTATATAGAAGATGCCTAGCAGTATTTTGAGTTGGTTTTCAGTGCAAGCATACCGTCATTCGTTTTAAAAACTTTCCAACATTACAACACAAGAACAACGAGGTATTTCATTTTAGTTACATTTGTTCTTTAGTAAACCATAATTTACAGTAAATCATAAAATGAAAATTATGTTTATATCATTTTTTTTTATTTCTTCAATAGTAAAGATAACCGAGTTATCTCACAGGCATACATATAGATGTTTCTTTTTCTTTATCAGAACATTGCACGGGAAAATACACAATATTTCTGCCTTTTCTTGTCTTTAATACTGTGGATAAAATATTTAAACGTTTGCTTTATCAATGTCAGAAAATATCTTTCTATAAGTGGTCCATCATGGATTCCACATAAAAGTTAAATGCTGCTAATAGTCAAATTGTACAAGGCGTATCTCTTATTTTATCATAAAAGCAGCCGTAAATAATGCATCTTTCAAATATGAATTCATTCTGATTTGTATTACAACTATCATCATGTAGCAAAAACTGGTTCTTGAAAAATATTACAAAATCAGTTTTTTATCCAATATTTCTGTTTATCAGCTTGCAGTTAAGTAAATTTTTATATATCTTTTCGCAGAGACTATGTACAAAGTGATCGTGATATTAAATGTAAATAAATTTTTTATTCTAAGGTTTTCTACCAATGTTTAATACTCAGATTTCGAAACACAAGTTTTATTCATCTTGAAACCACGCAAAAAAAATGTTCTTGAATAACAACAAAAACAGAAATGAACTTTTTACAACGATATGCGCTCGAACAACACATATTCTCTTCTATATACTAAATAAAAGTAATTGTTTTATCGATAAAGGAAAAAGAGTGAACACAACTGTACACGGAACACAAGAAAGGCGAATAAATGATTTTATTTCTTCTATGTGTATACGACATTCTTTTTGAGACTAAAGAAAAAATGAGTGAACAAGTGTGCTTTTTTGGTTGAAATTTGTTTCAATATCGTTTTACAATCAAAACTGAGAAAAAATGTAGAAGTAATATAAATCTATCGAGGACCAGCAAAACATTTATTCTCTGTCTATTAATTTTGCCCTTGCCATAAACCAGATTGCTTAACAGCCATTTGCAATAAATACTGAGCTTGTTGAATTTGCTGAAATAGTTAAATATTGCACATAATTTTAAGAATTCTGGTACATATTCATGCTGGCTATATACCGACAATATTTAATCCAAATAGGATCACATAATTGAAAAACTTACTTGAGGAGTGCCTGTTATTGAAATAACGCGATCATTTGTATCCTGTAATGGTTGACTATCAATTCGAACTTCAGCTCCTGATTGTTGTCTTATTTGTGATATACGAGATCCACGAGCTCCAATTACGCAACCTGCTAAATCATTTGGTATCGTTACCTAAAATAAAAGGTGTAAGTGAACAAGCAAGATGACTTATTCTTCCTTCCAGTTCAAAATAGACGCAAACAAAAGTGAACCCTTACATTTACTCGCATATCATTTGTAGGGTTTCATTCTTTTTTTTCTTACTTGTGTAGTAGTTAAACCAGGCGCATTTCCTTGGCTGTTCCCGCCACGTGAATCATAATCATTATAATTTCCTCCTCCACGTCCGCCATAACCATCATTTCCACCATTATTCCAACCCTGAATAGAAAAAAATAGCTATTATCAAGCAAATAACCGATATGACGCTGCCTTACCTGCTGTTGATTGTAATTGTTATTATTATTATTATTATTGAAATTATTGTAATTGTTTCGATTGTTATTGTTATTGTTAAAACCGCCACGTCTTTGCTGATTTTGACCATCTGGAAATCCACCTAGAAAAATGAGAAGATAATTAGAACCTACAAGTGAAAAGCATTAATATAGAACACTACCATATTCTTGTACATTATAACCGTCGTAATTATTCGGATCATAATATCGCGATGGGCCACGTGGGGGAACTAACGAACGAAAATCAAAAGTGTTAATTACAGAAAGAAACCAAAGCAGTAATCTTACCTGATTCTAGTATACTATATACTTCCTTTAAACAACGCATGACATCTTCACGTTGACCACGCATCTAAAATTTTACAAAACAATACACAAAGTAGTCAAAACGAGGGAGAGAAAGATCATTTTGTAAGAAACAACGAACCGATATACATCTTTCAGTTGAGCCACCAGGAGCACATTGAGGATACACTTTTACATCAAGATTGTATTTCTCACGAAATTCTTTAACACGCTGACCACCTTAAATGCAAACAGAAGACGGTGTAGGTTCGTACACAGATGGACACTTCCACCATGCCATAAGGAAACTCTACAAAATATTTCTAAGTAGGTGTTAACTAGTTGTAGTCAAAGAGATAGTAAGAAAAATTTAGCGATCTGTCAATGACATGACTAAAGTGGAGAAAAGAAACGAACCTTTGCCAATAATAGCTCCGGCTTGACTCTGATGAATTAATGCACGTATTTCTGATATATCTGGTCGAACACGTTGATTTTCAGATATAACGTTTAAAATGTTAGCAACACATTCAAGAATTTGTTCCATGTCACCTGAAAATAACCGCACAGTTTTCTTGGTTGCTTAAAAGGAAAATGACAGCGAATGATAAGATGAATTACCTGTAATGGTTAAAACTCGTTCTGGCGCATCACAGTCTGGAACCTGAAACAAATGCACAAATGCGAGAAACAAGAGATTTGAAAAGACTGACTAAGATACGGCACTGCAAAGCTTCTAACCTGAATAATTGTACGGTGTGTCGTCCGTAATTGTTGAATTGTTTTACCACCTGAAATAAACAAATTCAATTCGTTCGAAATCTAAAAAGTCATTCTTGTTTTCCCGATAACTTACCTTTACCAATGATACATCCTGCATCTCTACTTTGTAACAAGAACCGACAATCAACTTTAGATATTCGACTACGTTTAACTTCTAGTTGGCTGGGCTGCTGTGGTTGTTGCTGCTGATCGTTTTCATACGGGCGTTTATTTCCCGCACTTCCTCCGTCATTACCTTCTATTTTTGTATTCATATTCTCCATCATGACACTTTGATCTGCTATCTTAAAAGAAATTCTTTTAATAAAGAAAAATGTTTATTGTAAATAGCAGGTCAAAAAGAGACAGCACAGTTGCCTTTTTTATTGGTGCATGATCATAACAACAAGAAAAAATCTAACAAAAAAAAGACACAGCAGTGATGCTGCAAACATAGTCAAGAGGAAAAGACGACGATGGTTACGGCTTCAACTTCAATAACAAACTATAGGCAATCTTTAGTGGAGTAAAATTTACAAAATACTCAAAAGATGAAAAAAACAAGATCCGGCATAATTCACAACAAAAAGTCGATAAAAATAGATACGCAATAACAAATGGGTAGTTTTGATTTAGAGAGTATGGTGGATAATCGGATATCTGTACATTTCGTTGTTGACAGCTTCGTTGGGTAATTATGTGTTTCATGAGACAAACCTTAGGAAGACATGTGGAGTTATAGAATACGTGAGTAAGTGAGTCAGGTCATTCGTTCTAGAAAAAATAGAGAAGAAATGGGCAATAGGCTTTTATAGTTCTCTTGCTTGACTAAACCAATGTTCAATATACTAGCAAATATTAACTGAAAAGCCAAAGAAAAACGAACCTAATGCAGAAAAACTTACTTTATCTGTTGATATAGCCAACCAATGAACGCAACTATAGTTATCTCATGTCATAACGTAACATCATTAATCTCGTCTTCTTACCATACTGGATTACAAATTAAGTCAGGACTTGTTAAACCGGTGCACAATTTAATATTAAAATTTGAAGGAGATACATTTTCATAGTAGTAAAATGTGTCTTTGAAAGAGAAACTGTTTATTTAAACAGATTAAATAGGGACTAACCATAAAAGTTGAAAAGGTTTTATTATAGAGCTTTGTGTATGTAATATCGTTCTTGTATTGTGGTCAGCCGCAGAAATTATACTCATATTTTTATTCATTCAAGAAATTAGTGCGAAAATAAATTATTGAATATATTATATGAATAATAAAGCAAGAAGATAGATTGATTTCTATTTAAAAAAATAAGGTTAATTAACCAGTGAAAAGTTAGCAAGAACCTCTCTGTAATCAGTTGCTTTAGTCAGCATTTAATTACAACAAGGAAAGATGTGACCAGCAAATCTACCGACTCTATTTTTTAAGTCTCCAAGATGCAGTAGTGATAGATGGCGCTACATACAGACCAGTCTCCTGTCATAGAACGATCGCTACAGTAGTTGTATTTAAAGAAGATTATATTGTTTGGATTTATCTGAGAGAAATTCTTTCATTATAGATAGCTTTATTTCAGCAGCCATTGATTTAGTCGATCAAACATATTAGGGTAATAAAGACTGCAGAGGACACGTTTGAAGGTTTCTGACCTTGTACGCTCATATGAAAAGAATGCGCTTTTGATAGCTTAATATCTCGTACAGAAAGGTAATTTATTTAGTATCAGTTGTCAAATTAAAAAGACAATTGTATACAGACACATAGAAAATAATATAATATTTTTTTCCGGATTATAGTACAATTTCTAAAAAAACATTCAGCTGATTTTAACCAAATATGATCCCGGATTTTTTAGACGAAAAGCATTAAACTATCGTCTAGAAAGTTTTCTTTGAGGCTCATACCACATCTACACATGAGCATTACATATAAGGTTTGCTTTCTTGGCTTAAAATAATTGTTATAGATAATTTTTCGATTTAAAAATGAACAGTACCATAGTGAATGTACTTGCAAACGGGTACTTGTTTACTTGTGAATTTCTATGGATACTTGACATGCACTTGACAAACACTACCGAAATCTCAGAAGTATTTTCGTAAAATGTTACTTGGAAATTATTTCTTCAAGTACCCGAAAGTGCTCGCAAGATATTTGATTTACTTGTTAAACCACTCATCGATACTCGTGAGTTACTTGAGCAAGTATCTGACTTTCCTAGAAAGTGGTTGATTTGCTTGCGAAAAATTCCAAGAACATTGGAAAAAAAAGCAAGTACTCGAACAACTGCTCTTATACAAATATATTCACGAGGGCACATATCAGAGACCATCGCAGGGCAACTTTTTTCGCCCTGTCCTGTCAGAAAATTACTGATAAAAACTTTTTTGCCCTGCCCTGTTTGGCTGGGCAGGACGCACTGCAGAGCAAAAGAAAGTTTTTCTCCTTAGCCTAGCAGACTTTATCTACAAGAAACTCATCACAAATACTAGATGCGTTTCTCGTGCGTAACAGAATCTGTTTTTTTTATTAATTATCAAGTTTAGAAAACCTGGCTGTCATTTTTATTTCTACATATACGAGAGATCTCAAAATTTTACTTAAAAAGAAACTTGAAAATCTCAAAAATCAATCTCTCGCAGGGCAAATCAAGTAATTTTTTGTTGCCCTGTCCTGCAACAGAGCAGATCAAAAAAGATATATCACCCTGTTCGGCAGGGCGGCAAGACTACAGGGCAGCCCTGTGCTGCGATGGTCTCTGGTACATATCACTGTTAAGTAACAGGAACTTTAGTAAAAACAGATGATCAGTATAAAGAAGCATACTTCTATTAATAAATAATCTTTGAGTCTATTCTTTTTTTCGAGAAAAAAACACGAGAAAAAATTTCTTTTATATTATTTTTCGAAGGACGAAAAACCGCACTCTTTCATACGTGTTTTTTCTTTTATCAGTATTGTGTAGAATATTCACATGCGAGAAAATAGCAACTGTTTTTATTTTTATTTTTTCTACAAGCGTTAATAAACATTCCATGATATATCAATTTTTATTTGGTTTCTTTTTAATAAACTTATGGACACGGTATTTTATGAAAGCACGTACGCCTTGAGAAATTTATTGTGTGAAATAACATATAATATTGATTGTATTCGATGTTTTTTTTATTAGCGAATAATTTTTCACAAAATACACTTCTTACCAGGAATATATTCTTGGTTTGTACGAGAGTATGTTTACCAAGTCATCATTTGAAATCTCCATATTTTAGCGAAAAAGGACATACTTTTTACAGTTAAGAGTGAATTTGATAAACGTATATGAGAAAAGACAATATATACTTCGACTGAAAATCAATTCCCAACGCTTCTTTGCTTATGTTTACCTATTCGACTTTGCTCTTGGCCACAAAAAGTATGTACAATAATAGTCATAAAAAAATGTTGTTGCTCTTACCATCTGTTAATAAAAACAAGGCACAATACACATCTTTCTTTGAAGCCGTTTATCAAAACTAGGAAAACGAGAGGTGCCTGGAACGCAGAGTCTGATGCACTGAGAGTGCAAGCTTGAAATACAAATTGATAATAATCTTTTTTTATCAATAATTTCTTCAACTCTTGTCATTTCGTGGAAAACTTTACTACAACCTCGTCTAAGTTTAACGTTTTTTTAGTAAAGACCTTTTAAGGGTTCCCCTTCCCTCAATTTGGGCTTTCCGTAGAAATACTGTGAAATAAAAACTAAAATTCACTAAGGCTTCATATTTTCAGAACTGATTGGAAACTCAATGGAGCAATTTTTCGTTTTTGTTTCAAGTTTTTAACTATTGTCGTTCACCAGTTTTCCAGAAAACTCGATTTTCTATTGTGCCACATTACGATCCTCCTTCAATTTCATCCGATCGAGCTAAAAATTTTACCAGAGGTACTCAAGGTCATAGCGCAGAGGTATTATTTTGGAAGAGAGGAAGGAGGGATACCCTTAAATCGTTCTACCGTATTTTACGCGATTTTTTTTCTTCACTTAAATAAAACCGATATATATTTATTATATAATTATATAATATATAATATAATTTTCATGGATAATGATTTATTGATCTGTTTTTGATATAAAATACAATATACCTGTGTTGTAATAATATACAACTATCCCATTCTCATTAAAAACAAAAACAAATCATGTTTTCGAATTATAGTCGAGTAATAATCATAAATCGATGATATTTAGGAAAAACATAGATTTCTTAAATTAGTTTTTCTGGTATGCTTGTTTTAGAGATAGTCGTATATGAATATTATATGATTATATGATAATATGAATATTATGTGATTATATTTAAAAATTTTGAGTTATATCACGCTCATATATCTAATTTGAATATGATAGTGCTTATACTAGTTATGAAGCAGAGCCTGGAACTCAACTTTCTGTTTTAGATGAGTGACATATTTAAGCTCTTACATATTATTTCTTTCATTATTTATATGACAATATATTTTGTGCAAACTGAAGAGAATACAACAGCAATTTTAAACAAATTTGAACAATCAACTGATTATCCAACAGAAGTATGATAACAATACAAAATCGCTTCAATGGTTTATTATTAGTTTTTTCTTTGTTTAATTTTAGCATGTATCCGAGAAGCATGAGGATAAATTATTGCCAATAGTCCAACATTTTAATAATTACACAAAAATGGCTGTTTCAATAGCACAAAATATATATGTCTTTGATAATCAAGAAGAACAATTCTTTCAAAAATTCGATTCTAGTTATATCATACCAGTTTTTGGTCAACCCTTTAAAAAAATCGATGTAAACTTTTAATAAAATGAAGAATAAAAAAAAAAGAAGAAATACATATTAATTTTTGATTTCTTTTAGAATTTAATGATATATAATGATGTTGCCGGTGCGCTGTCTATTTTCGATCAATCAAAAAACATTTTGGAATATAATATTAGTTTTAAGCCATCAAATATTTATGTATCACCTTATGTAGAAAACGTATGGATAGCAAGCGATGTGTCAAGTGAAGCTTTTACGGTACTCTCATTCAACGGTAGAATGTTCTTCGACTATATCACAGTATAATCTACTTAATTTAGTTATACATTAGTGAGAATGGTGGTGGTGAATGGAAAAAGTTGGAAGATGGAACAAAATTTTTAGCCTGGTAATTGATTAAAAAAATCATCACACCCCTCCCACTCCCAAAAAAAAGAATAAAAGAATAAAATATTTGTAGTATTTTCTAGGTCAACAAATAATAGTATCTATATTTCTAAATTACATCAAATGCAACGCATTGATATATCAACTCTTGAGCAAATTCAGAATCCAGTATACGAACATTTAGCTTCATCGAATTTTTTAACAAAATATTTCATCGGAACAGATATCAACGTAAGTTAAGTAAGAAATCAAATATAGACAATCGTCGTCATCGTCTATCATGTTGTTCGGAGTAATTTGGTAATAGCCTTGTCGTTCTTCTACTGTGTCTAATGACTACGTCATCCCTGTTGAGCTGAAGCATTGCGTCACGTTTACATTGCTTAGCGGACACTTTTACATACTTTTATTCCCCGAAGCTACACATAATTCACTATCTGTTACTTTACAGTATGAAATGGGAACCTTCTGATGTTTTTACAAGAGAAGTTCAATGATCAGTTATTAACTCAATAACAGTTTCATTTAGATTCAAGTAGTTTGTTAAGAAAATGAATTCTTAGAGACCAACAGTAGTCCTGAATAAGTCTAGAGAAGATATTTGTAGCTTAATTTTAACGAATTTTGTACATTTTGAACGATCGACTTTTATTATTGGAAGAAAAAAACTAATTGAAAATAATTTGGTGATAAGTGTAGTACCTCAGCAATTAATATAATCACAAAACGAAACTTTTTAGTAGAAAAATAGATCATAGTGTAGCGCTTCTCATCAGAAATGAGATATTGTTAATTGTATCTCATTAAAATCGTCTATTAATAAATAAGATCGATTACAGTGGAGAATTTAATTAACTAATAAATAGATTAAAGTTATAGAGAGTAAGTATATCGACTCTCTATCTATATAGCACACCGAACTTCCTTATTATATAAAAGTAGTAAGCTCTCATTCTTTTGTTATTATAGAACAAACTCGAAATTCGTTCCATAGATAATATGGATGATCCACTATTATTGTCTGATAAAATTTCTTCGTCTCGATTGGTTAGTTCATCGTTAACAATAATTGAATAGTGATATTAATGATTTATTTGATATAACTTTAGTTTCATTGTGCAACAGAAGATATTCGCACAAATGATCTGATATTATTTTTGAAATCGTCAATAAATGATACTACGTGTATGCTATATGAACTGAATAAACGTAAACCATTATTAACGCATATTATTTGTCATGAAACAAGCAAAATAATGTACGTAGGGGGTTTTGAAATAAATGTGGTGCCATAAGGTTATAACTACTTGTTTTTAATTCACAGTTGTTCAGAAAACGAATTATCATTCTTTTATCAAGTAAAAGGTTTACAAGGTGTTTATATTACAAATGTGCATAATGAGAATCACAAACAACGTTCAACTGTGATAACATTTGATCATGGATCTAGTTGGCTGAATATAACATTTGTTAACAACTTATGCAATTCAGTAAGTTGCCTTTGTCACCATATTCAGTATTTTTAGTGTCTAACATTTTTAGAACATTTTTTAGACAAATTGTTTGTTAATCGACATTCAGTCCATCGTATCAACACAAAACGCCCCTGGCATTTTAATTGCGCAAGGTAACTTACAAACTTTTCCAGTGTGAAAATGAGCATGAGTAAGCTCCCCGTTGTATTTTGTGTTACATATTAGGTTTTCTCTTCAGCGTATATTCTTCTCCCGTTAGCCTAGATTAGAATTTTCTTGATCAGTTGCGTCTGTGCTTTAGAGATGGTCATGTTTCAAATGTGAAGTGCACAAAGGCGTCAAAATGCTATTCATCTAGAACGTTTCGTAAAGACACGTCATTTTTTAGGATCAGTTAACGATGAGACATACGCAGTCATTTCATCTGATGGTGGTGCATCTTGGTATTTAGTGAGTAGTAAAAAGAAGTTTACGCGCGTTAGCTCTTCAATGTTGAATTTTTTGTAGGGATCAAAAGAAACACATTCTTATGATATTGCAGATGGCGGACTGTTAATGTCAACGGCTAACAAGGATTTTATTTTGTACTTAGCATGAAAATAGTTTTTGTAGAAATACCACTATCCGTTTCTTATTTTTCGATAGCTATTCTACGGATTATGGACTGAACTGGAATGAGAAACATTATCCAAATGGTCCTGCGAGATGGTTTAAAAGTGTCGATAATGGTATTACATCATTTTTTACTATATCTGGATATGAATTGGAGGATAATTCAACCATAACACTGTCTCGACTAGATTTTAATCATGTAATAAGTACGTACTAAGCATAAGTTGTAGAAATCGATTTTTTTTTTTTAAGTATATTTTTATTCTTAGATAGAACGTGTTTGTTAAGTGATTATAAGGAGTGGACACCTCGTCATGCAAGATGTTTGAATGGTTTAAGAACATTCTATAAACGTCGTTCTGATCAAGCGATTTGTTCAGAAACGGATGGGCGTCAGTTTTTACAAATTCGTTATGAACCATGCTCATGCGAATTGGAAGACTTTCAATGTGATAAAAGCTTTAAACGTACTAGGGATTCGTTATGCGTTTTTAAACCAAGATCAGATATTAGCCCTCCATCTGCTCAACATTCTAATTGTCAACTTGCATCAACATGGATAAGACGAAGAGGGTTAGTCTGCTACTACAATTCATTTCAGAATATAGCATGCTATATTCCGAACAGGTGTTCTGAAAATGTACATATGTCTGAGATTGCATCTGCAAGCCATCCAGGTATAATGGGACTCTCTTTAGACATCTCTGTTCAAAGACTTGAGGTCTAGGAAACTCAAATCAGGAGTCGAACGGTATCAAAAATGCAATACCGGTATCGGTCACCGGTATACAAACCTGGCACCGGTACCGATCGGTTTACCGGTTGGTACCGGCTTATCTTGATCATGTTTTGTCTAAATACAAATACTTTTTCAAAATCAATCGTAAATCAATATTTACAAGTACAAATTCTTGAGATTTTAGTTTTATTGGAATATCTATAGATGACAACTTATCAGTGATTTTAACAAAAACAGCAAGCTAATTCAATTTTTTAAATTAAGAAGTTTATATAAGCCGACAAAGTTTAAGTAACTGGAACGGAATTTTAGTGGAAGAAATATGTCATAGATGAATTGATGCCGGTATACCGGTCGGCATTATAATTCATACCGGTACCGGTTGCACCTCTGTACTAGTTTTATCGACGTGTAAAGCAGCTAAAGTTAGAGTAAATTGAAAGAAGATTTGAAGAAGAAATGTTGCACTATTCAGGCATGTCTTTAAAACAAAAAGCCTGCAGAGATTTTGGAAAACGAAATCTCCAGGATTTTGTCCTATGATGTATGCTATGATAGACCTTGGTTTTGAAAAAGTATTCAATAAATCAATAGCTCCCATATTTAACTTTATAACAGCAAAAAATCGAAGGTTTTATCACTTTTCATTGATGAGTTATTTAATAAAACGGCAAAATGCCCACACTATATTCTGAAATGAATTGTAACTACGGTTAACGTTGTTAATTCAATATGAGTATTTCTTGTGTTATCTGATGTTCAGTTATACAAAATTGTCTGATAATCTATGTGAGAGAGGTGTAATGGATCATCTGCACGATGTTGAGCTTCCATGTCGTGATCTCACGGAACCAAAATATTTAATATATGGGCTTGATGCAAATGATAAACCAGTGATTCGTCTTTATTACGAGTTTGACGAGGAATGGGAAGACGAAGAGGATACTTCGAAACTGTGGCATATTGATACAAACGGAAATATAACTGCAATTACCTACAATGATCGTACTAACTATGCGTATATTGCCGTTGAGGTTGAACAAAAATCTTTGGTGTACAGTGTGATGGTAATAAAAAATCTCACATGTTTGTTCTCAATAAAATAGGTTTATGATTATATTTAGAAAGATTTTTCACCAAAGGTATTACAACAACATATTTTACTTGAATCAAATCCTGCTTTGTACAGCGGATCCGATGAAATAATTGAATATTTATCGATTGATTGGATAACAAATAACTTATATCTTTTAATTCGGAATAAATCAACAAATTTGTTGTATATTAAACTATTAAATAATTTAACATTAAAAGAACGAATTATTTCGTCTAATATTGAAACAAATATTTTCATTATTATTGCAGACCCTGTTAAACATTATTTATACTGGATTAAATTTAATAATGAAACGGGTGTTTCATCGCTAATTATCAGCGATCTTAGTGGCACCATTCAAAAGGAAATTTATTTGTTAAATTCGACAATATCATTTCTTACTTATGATGTTTACACACACGATCTGTTTTACGTTACAAACTCAAGTGTGTATGCTTATAATACACTATTACTTGATAAAACATCACCAAGATTCATTTATACTATTCCACAACAAGATACTGTCGCTAAAATTTTATTATTTAATGTAAGTTCTAATGCTAAGATTTTGTAATAGTATCGAAAGTAACGTTACAAAAAAAAGATATTTCTTTTGTTATTCTAGAATGATTTAATTTATGCTGAAGAATCTCAACCTGTAACACGTATACACTCCATAGATGTCTTAAAGAAAAGCTATACAAATAATATCGGACAATATGAAAACAAAAACTTACATAATATTAAACTCTTCAATAACTTAATAACACAATTAACAAATGGTGCTCATTTTTATCAGGTTTTTCTACAGTTCAGTTTCACACTATTTTTCTATTTTAGATTCAAATGAATGTGCTAAATCTCCTTGTTCCGAACTTTGTATTCCATTTGAGCACAATCAGTTTGAGTGTATTTGTGGGAAAGAAAGGTAAATTTAAATTTTTTGAAATAATTATTATAGAATACAGTATTAATTCTGTCATCTTTCCTAGTAGTACATCCAAATCGTGTATTTGCCCTTCCGATGAACAAACATTCAATGGAGTCTGTCGGACAAGTAGGTGCATAGCTATTAGTTTTCTAAATTAAAATCTGATTTACTAAAAAGCAAATGATTATTACATCTTTTTTGTAGTCAATGGTAAGTGTGCTCACGGTCGTCAATTATGTCAAGATGGTGTCCATTGTGCTCGTAATGCATTTATCTGCGAAGAAAAGTTTACTCAATATACAGAAGAATTTAAAAATAGCTCACAGTGTACCATCAACAGTTTGAACGATGGTTTCGATTGTTATTATGAAAAAAAATGTATTCCAAAACAATGGTTTTGCGACGGACAAAAAGACTGTCAATACGGTAATGATGAAGATCATTGTCATAAAATCACAACGACAAGAATCAGTACAACGACTACCACCGCTATCAAACGATTTACGACAATAAATAAAAAATCAACAAAATGTGCAACAGATCAAAGTATGTTATATTCTTGGTATGATCATTAGAGAGATTTTAACAAATTTATTTGAATTTTAGGATATGTGTTATGTGGTGTAAGTTGTATTAAAGTTGACATATTATGTGTTAATTCATCGACTCAGAGCACATGTAACGAAACATTTCAAATGAATTGCGTACAAAAATCGAACGACAGTCAGGTAAAAGAGCAAAACAATATTATATTGTACGATTAAAATGTCTTCTACTCGTATAGTCATAAACTGTTCCACATACACTCATCACTAATATCTTTGTTGCTGTGTGATTTTACGAATCCTATTAGGTACAAATAATCAGCGTATCTCTTACTTTCGTCTTTTAGTTTGTTTGCAAATGTACAGATCAACAGGGCCAGTGTCTTTTAATGAAAGAAAGATGTACAAATTTTACAAATTGTCAAGAAATATGTAAAAAATTAGTTCTCTTACAGGAAAAAGGTATTAGAATTCTCGGAACAACTGCCAGATTCGCTTTAAAGTTATAATTTTTTTTTTACTATAGCCGATTCTAAAGTAACAAATAATTCCTCATCCACTACATGGATTTTACTATTGATTGGTATAATCGCTTTGGCAGTCATAGCAATTATTGTTCTTTCTTTAAATTATCATCGTCGAAATAAGAAAAAATCTCAAGGGTTAAAAAATCATTCAAACTCACCCTCATCACAAACAGGTGCGCATACATTGTTCTTTCCATAATCTTACCGACATTTTGCATATTTCTAATTTCAGATGGAGAACATCCTAAAGCTGATATGAGATTATTATCAAATCCAATGGATAGTGATGCATAATCACTGCATTCATTTTTTTTAGGCAAACGCAATTAGTCACACGAAGATACTGATCTTTTTTTTCTTCTCTTGATAGACATATGATACCGGTGCCACAATACTCCAGCACAGTTTCATCTCTTGTTCTTCTCTCTTTATACTTCATCTGACTGTGCAAAAACTTTTTATTGTGTCAAAATTAATTATCTAATAGTGGTGGGCTTATTGTTAGTTCTTAGATATAAGATGTTTGTATCCAAGATGTTTCTCGTTTTGTATGTGTTTCTTTCTTTTTCATATCACTTATCATTTGTTTCTTGTTATTAAAACCTTCACGTTTTTAAAATTTTCTTAGAAAAAGTTTTTTAACCAAAAATAAAAATAGAACAATTGGCTAACCTATTTTAGTTACTTGCCACATATACTTTAACTGCAAGGCTGTGTTTTGTTTTTCGATTTGTTTTTCTTAATGTTGGCTCATGCTTAAGCTTGATAAGTAGTTTTAAAAACACAAGAGAACAATCGACGTCATAGCACATATATAGAAATGAACTTTTAGTAAATTTATGCAATAACATATTATGCGTAAATAAAAGGCAACATAGACTGTTCTGCGTCCTAAGCTTTTAACATGTCTATTCGATTTTTTTTCTTCAAATCTACTTGATTATGGATCATTTTTTATGCTGATCATTCTTTTATCCTCATACAGCCTGTCGGAAATTCGCTTCGCTTGAACATCTCTAGAAATCCACTCGTGACTTTCGTCTGAACAAATTCTGGTCGTGTCACACCATACACTGTAATCTTGAATTAATTTCCAGTTTATAGAAAATTGACCGAAAAATCGCCGGGCATTTTCTAGTTTATAGAAATTCTTTGGCGAATTTCCAGCTTTCTAGAAAATGTTGATTTTCTACTTTATAGAAAATCGACTTGAATTTCCACATATTCGATTTTCTATAAATAATTTCCAAGAATTAGAAAATCCCCAGTAATTTTCTAGAAAGTAGAAATTCGCCCAGGAATTTCTAGACCAAATACCTAAACATCTTTTTGTTTTGCAATCAGTATAGATATAAGAGCGTCATGTAAAGACACTCATATTACACTTAAATCAGCTTTGACAGTTTCTACAATTCTGCCTATGCCAGCAAGAATTTTGAATTAGGCAGAGACAGTGGTGGCGCGAAGTTTCGGTAGGAAAATTCCAAAATCGGAGATGTTCACCAGAAATGTCTCAAAAGCATGAGCGGGGTCAACCCCAATGCAACCTGGCCGCGCCGTCACTCGGTGCAGACCCGTCAAGGAATTTGCAGTTTACAGAAAATCAAAACGGACTTTTCTACAGTCTTGGGATTATTTATGGAAATTCAACGACGATTTTCTTAAAAACTGGAGATTCAAGGAGGAATTTTTAGATTCTTGGAACTTCGATTTTCTATAAACTGGAAAATCCTCAAGGAATTCCTGCAGGTACTCTTTGAAATTCGCCGAGCATTTTCCATAAATAAGTTTCCACCTTACAGTGTAGAACTCATCAAGTTACGAGGCTTCGTATTTGACCTGTTTTTCCTGTATTTTCTGTTTAATATGCGAACATCCTGTTTTATCCTGTTTTTTAAAATTTTCCTGTTTTTCCTGTATTTTGACGTTTTTCTGCAGTCTTACTGTTTACTGGGGTGAAATCTGTTAGAAAGTCTCTGCCTCTTACGTGAATCCAATCAGCCAGCTAGACAAACATTCTTACTTCAGTTTCTTTCGGTCAGCTAAGAAAAGAGAAGACTAACGAGGAAAGGACACCAAGTGATAAATCGCTTCTAGCTTAAAACTTAGTGAACAATAGGTAATCGAATGTGCTGATTCCGGATACTAACATGAGACGGGCCGCTAGGCCTCCAAAGACTG